CATAATACTTGGTATATATCAGGCAGCCATAAGTGTTCTGAATGAATGAGTTAACGAATGAGCTGTTTCATTCAATGCACATTAATTAAGCACTGGGCTGTGGAGCCATCTCTTGAGTATTAATCATTTTTGTGGTAAATTTTCTTAAACATCTTACAGAAAGTAACAGTATATACCAAGAGCAGTAACATAGAGTTATAAAGATATTAAAAAAATACCCTCATTAAACAGAAATATTGATTTTGGTAACATTCTCCATAAAACTGTTTTCAGTTTGGGCATATATTTATTCATTTGACACGCATCACTGGGTGCCCACTATTTTCCCTGCTCTGTTAGAGCTTTGGGACTTCTCAGTGGAGAAAGCACATCCTAAACTTGAGGGCAATCTAATCTTTTTATCACCTATCCTTGGATACGATTAAATCCTGGAATCCATGGATAAGTTTGGGAAGTGGTCCCACAATTGTGCCAGACTCCACATGCTTGCACGTTTTCCCAGGGAGAGGGTCTGTGACTTTGATTGGATTCTCAGAGTATCCATGACTCCCAGAAGATTGAGAACCATCACTTTCAGGGAGCGAGTTCTACAAATATGGAAGGTTCAGTGACAAGGAAAGCAGATGTTCAGCAATGGGCCAGGCATGGAAGGTGGGGAATATCAAGCTTATAGGAGATTGGATGAGGAAGGGGTTTCTGCCGGATGCAATGCCCTGAAAGGATATCGTGGAGCGAAGAACTTAGGCCTTATAGAATGAGAAGGATTAGTATAGAGGCAGGAAAAAAGACAGGTAGGACATTCCAGGCTGTGTGTGGGCCTGGGGCTTGGGCAGGGCTGACAAGCTAAGAATCTGATCTGGAGCCCTGCCTCTACTGACAATGAAGGAGCTTGCAAAGCTGCTCCTCGCTCTTAGTGTTTCTGTCTTCATTTAGCACCTCAAGATTGGGCTTCTAGACTCCGGAGGAGCCAAGTACCAATGCAGCCAAGCTCACAGGACTGATCTCTTTGTGACTGTGAACCTTGATTCCATTCCATGGTCACAGACTGGCAAACTCCCATCCCCAGCTGTGGTGTTCACTAAAGATGACAAGGAGAGCCAGGCAAGAGAATGAGGGTGATGCAGTGGCAACCTGTCCGCCATGTGCACCTTCCATTATAGGGGCGTGGGGCTAGGCAGGGGTAGCAGGATGGACTCATGTATGGAAGACAAACCTGTGTCTGATTGGAGGGCATTTTCCAGCTTCCATTTTCCTAGATGCTTTCAATATCATGCTCTAACCTGGCCCTTCTCTGCAAAATAGCTGCAGGTGGTTGCACATTTTTGTGGGAACAATGCGTCAGACTCTGAGGACCTGCTGAGGTGCCTGAGGACAAAATCCCCCTGACCCTCATCCAGGTGAGGACAGACAGGACAGTTTTGGAGGGAGACTTGCCCTTTGAATGGAGAGATGAACAAATCCTACGCCTCTGTTATTTATTTGGATTTGGAACATTGAAAAGAGGAGGATTGGGGATACTTAGTAACAACTGTAAAAAAAATAAGTAGGGGTATAGAACCCTTGTAGGTAATTTAAGAAAATTGTTGGGGCAGGGGTGCCACTTAGCCTGGAGAAGATTCAGCAAAGTACAAGGCTTGTCTCTAAGTCCCTGAAAGCATCTCACTGGAGAGAGGGACCACCCTTGTTACGCATGCTTCCAGAAGCTGAAGTCAAAATCCGGAGCTGGAAGTTCTATTAGGAAGTCATTTTAGTTCTGCATAACTGAAAACTTTTCAAGACCTCAGTTGTCTGGAAAATGACTGGGCTCCTTTAGAAGGTGGTGAGATGCCCACCTCTCCAGGTATTCAAGCAAAATCTAGCTGACCTCTGACAAACTTTCAATCAGTGACAGATAATTGGACCCGGTAATCTTTATGTCCCTTCCAATCTTGAGAGCCTTTGATGACAGTCTTTGAATGAACAAGATCGTTATCTTTCAGATTTCAACATTTGCTCGTTATGAGGTGTGTACCAAATGTCCACTCTGAGCCATGCTAGACTCAGTGAAATGGAGAGTAAGTCCTGGACTTGATGTTGTGTCAAACTCTTTCATGTGCTCCTTTCTACCCAAATTCCAAAACAGAAACCTAAGGAAACCATGATTAGGGCTGAGTGTTGCTTTCTGAGACCCAAAATATATCCAGGCATGTCCAAGACACTGTCGCTCAGGGACACACTTGAGGAAGATGTTCACACCAACCCCTACAGTCCTGACCACTCCATCTACCACCATTTTTCCCTTTGCATTTGGCCAGTAGTTCTGAAAGTTGAATATGCATCAGGATCACTTGGAGGACCAGCTACAGGAAGGTTCCTGGGCTACGCCCCCACCGCAGAGTTTCTTATTGAGGAGCCTGAAGTGAGCCTGAGAATGTGCATTTATAACAAGTTCCCAGATGATGCTGATGCTGCTGGTCTAGGAACCACACTTTGAGAATCTCTGGGCTAGGCTGTATTAGTCTGTTCTCAAGCTGCTAATAAAGACATACCTGAGACTGGGTAATTTATAAAGGAAAGAGGTAATAAACTCACAGTTCCACATGGCTAGGGAGGCCTCATAATCATGGTAGAGGCTGAAGGAAGAGCAAAGGCACATCTTACATGGAGGTGGGCAAAAAAATAAGCTTGTGCAGAGGGGCTTGCTTTATAAAACCATCAGATATCATGAGATTTATTCACTATCAGGCAAATAGCATGGGAAAGGCCTGCCCCATGACTCAATTACCTCTCACCGGGTCCCTCCCACAACATGTGGGAATTACGGGAGCTGTAATTTGAGATTTGGGTGGGGACACAGCCATACCATATCACAGGCCACTGTTTTTCTTGGTAGATATTATTATTATTCCCATTTAGCAGATGCGAAAATAAGACACAGACAAGTTTAACCCCCTGGCCCAAGTACGTGGCAGAGCTGCCAGGGACTGATATATTGAGCTGAGCCCATAGTGTTTGTTTTTACTTTTTAAGAGCATTTAAACCAGTGCTAGACTGTGTTGGCTTTGCTTGGTCAGGATTTGGGACAGCAGATTTTGTGAACAGAAATTGCTGATGATTTTTTTTTCTTCCTTATTGCAGAAAACAAAGCCTTTCACTCTAGTGGTTGATGGTGTTTTCTTTCCTAATGAGCCTCTATGTCTATTGTCTCAGAAAGCATTTAAAGCAATTCCTTCCATCATTGGAGTCAGTAACCCTGAGTGTGGCTTCCCGCTGCCTATGGTAAGAATTCTGGCTGTCCATGCTGCCACTCTCTCAAACCATGATGCAGCTCTTGGCTTCAACAGCTGGGCATTTCCACAGATGACAACAGGTGTTTTAAATGCTGAAGCACACCAGCCGAGCACACAGTGATCACCTTTCCTCTCTCTGAAAGAGGGCAAGTGAGGACCAGTCAAGTCACAACAAGTGTCTGCCTTCCTCCTCATGTGATGAGGTGTAGGGTGGAAGAAACAACTATATAAAAAGGAAAGAGGGGATGGGTCCACTTCGTCTTTGTTCAGACAATGTTATAAATGATCGTTTCCAAAAAATGCAGTTACCACTTCAGAGCTGACATTCAGATAGGTTTGAAAAACTTCAGTCCTTTAAACTGTTCATGTCCAGCCTTAGTTCTGGCATTTGACATCTGAGAATGCTAAGGTTGTATAAGTTGCAAAATTGTTAAATCATTTTATTTATTCAACAAGTATGTACTGAGCATTTATTAGAGACTTATAAAAACTGAGCATACGAGCTCTCTGGGAGCTTACACTCTGGTGGGGAGAGACAAATGAGACGAGACACGAGGTTGAGAAGATGATTTCAGAGAGTGATAGATGCTATGAAGGACACAAGTGGGGAGAGAATGTATCTTTAGGGAGGTTAACAGGTGGTCAGGAAAGGCTCTTCTAGGGAGAGTTTGTTGAGCTGAGGCCCAGGTGCCGGGAAAGACCTATGATTTTTTTATTCCATGTCTTAGAAAGACTCTCTTCATTGGAAATAAACTTTTCATCTGTGGATGAGTGGATAGTTCAAATTCCTAATACTGTTGAAGCTCATTTATATAGATTGACCTCCTCATTTTAACCTGGACAAAATAGGGTTAAAAAATAAAGAGGTTCATCAGATTATAAAGCTAGCTGGTGGCTGTCTAGAACCAGAGTCCCGAGTTCATTGAGTTGTGAAAGCATGTTCTACCATTATTAATTTGACCTCCAGGACAATGTTTTGAAGTAGGACTAGGGATTTTTGTCCTCATGTTGCAGACGAGGCCACTGAATCACAGTTCATGGCTTAAGTAAGGCTTTTCAGTGATTTTTGGGTGTGTGTTAGAAAGAAGAAGGCGGGTGCTAGTGATGACAACCGCCACTGTAACTACTGTAACCAGTTCCCCAGTGCCTTCCAGTGCCAAGCACAGGCCATCTAGGCAACAACTTTAAAACAGGCAGATTTTCCCTATTTTAAAGAAACTGAGACTCAGAGCAGCTAAAGCATCTTTCCAACATCTCCCGGCTAGTAAAGAGACAGTGGTGTATAATTTTTATGTATTTAGGCTCTGCCATTTTAATTTAATTTAATTTAATGTAATTTAATTTAATTTTTGAGTCAGAGTCGTCCTCTGTTGCCGAGGCTGGAGTGGAATGGTGTGATCTCGGCTCACTGCAACTTCCGCCTCCTAGGTTCGTGATTCTCCTGCCTCAGCCTACTGGGTAGCTGGATTACAGGCACCCACCACCATGCCCAGCTAATTTTTTTTTTTTTGGTATTTTCAGTAGAGACAGGGTTTCACCATGTTGGCCAGGCTGGTTTCCAACTCCAGACCTCAAGTGATCCACCTGCTTTGGCCTCCCAAAGTGCTGGGTTTATAGGCGTGGGCCAGTGCCAAGCCTAGGGTCTGCCTTTAAATGCCGAGTTCTCTGCTTACCTGCTGTGTGATATTAGGGGAGTGTCCCACCCTCTCTGAGCCTCCACTCCTTCTTTTGTGAAATAGGGCTCATCTTAGCACCTGCCTCACAGGTGTACATCAAATAACCTGGCATACAGTCAGTGCTCAGTAAATGCTAGATATTGGAGTTATTCAAGTGACAGAATTTGCAGCGCTGAAAAGCCTGTGTGGGTGCTGAAATTCCATGTGAATTTGCAGTTAAACCCATTGCAAGTTGTTAGAGACCACAGGAAATCCCTGAGTTCCTTAATGTACAGAGAAGGTTTTTAGTAGTTAAAATATGCTTGTGGGTAATTTAAATGACTTAAGGGTTCCCTGAGATTCCAGGAGACAGGTACGGCCCTAGTATTCATTTAAGTATCCACCATAGTGATTCATTACCCCAAGATTTTCAGCAGAAAACATACCAAGAAAATTCATTTGCCACGTGGATATTGTTTCTGACACCTCAAGTTTTAAAGCTGTAATTTTGCCGGAAAATGGTAATTTAACAAATAATCACATGAAGTGCTTACTACCTACCAAGTTCCGATTGTAAGAGCTTTACAAATATCAACTCGCTGAGTTCTCATCACCACCCTCGCAGGAGGTACTTGCTGCAAACTCCGTCTTACAGATGAGGAGCCTGAGGCAGGAAGAGTTGAGTCCCTTGCCAAGTTTTCAGGTGGTGAGGGCAGTGCAGGGAGCCTGTGTTTTCAGCCACCAGCCTCACCACCACTGCCTGACCTCCCACTGTGGCTTCTCAGAGGCCCCACCCACAAAGGTCTTGAGAAGGAGAACAACAAACACCAGTTTGGAAATTTTCTGGCTTCTCTTTGAACTTGATGTCCAAGCCAAGTTGGCCTCTTAGGCAGTCAGGGCTGCCATAATAAAATACTGTAGACTGGGAGGCTTAAACCACAGACATTCACGTTCTCACAGTTCTACGGACTGGAAGTCCAAGATCAAGGTGCTGATATCGCTTTGTGTGTCTAAACTTTCTTTTCTCATAAGGACATCAGCCAGATTGGATTAGGGCCCACTCTAACAGCTGCATTTTAACATAATCACCCCTTTATAAGTACTATCTCCAAATGGTCATATTCTGAAGTGCAGGGGGTTAAGGCTTCAATGTGTGAATTTTGAGAGGGCCACAATTTAGCCCATAATGGGAACCTTGTCACAAGGTGGGCACTTGGGCCCCACAGGGCGGCAGGTGGAATGACAGGGACCAGTTGCCTTTTATCAAAAGTGAGAAGAAATTAACTATCAGAGCAGGACACTGAGGCCACTTCCACACGTGGCTGCCTGGGCTTGAGGGCTCCTTACCCAGCTTCTCCTGTGAAAGTTGGCTGCCCATGCCCTCAGGGAGATGGGTTTACCTTCTGATGACCGGATGGCTTACAGAGGGCACTGCTTATCTCCACAAAAGGAGGCTCCTGAGATCCTCAGTGGCTCCAAGAAGTCCATTGCCCTCCATCTGATACAAAACATCCTGGTAAGTAACTTGGGAGGCTGCAGTACTCCAGAGACACATGCACTTAACAGATAGCCCTGGGTCACACTCAGCGGGAGAGGCCAGGGGCACAGACACTCCTCACTCACTCAGTCATTCAACAGACCTTTCCTAAGCACAGGTGTATTCGTCCACTCTTGCACTGCTATTAAGAAATACCTGAGACTGGGTAATTTATAAAGAAAAGAGGCTTAATTAGCTTATGGTGCTGCAGGCTGTACACGAAGCATGATGCTGGCGTTTGCTCAGCTTCTCGGGAGGCCTTAGGAAACTTACAATCTTGGTGGAAAGCGAAGGGGAAGAAGGCATGTTTTACATGGCCAGAGCAGGAGGAAGGAGAGAGGGATGAGGTCCCACACACTTTTAAACAACCAAATCTTGTGAGAGTTCTATCATGAGAATAGCACCAAAGGGATGGTGCTAACCATTCATGAGAAACCACCCATACGATCCAATCACCTCCCATCAGGCCCCGTCTCCAAAATTAGGGATTACAATTCAACATGAGATTTGGTGGGGGACACAGGTCCAAACTATATCAATAGGCCCATAAACCCAATCCACAATCCCCGACCTGGAAGAGATCCAAAAACCCAGAGGCTTTTTGTAACCCACCCAGCAGCAGAATCGGACCTCAACTGATTTGTGGCTATCAGTCATTTTCGTTCCCACACGTTTATTCATGTTATTTATCCCACTATTCAGCTGTTTCTCTGTGAATGCATTAATGTGGGTTTTGGCATGTTGCCCCCACCCCGAGCCTGTGTCATAACACGGAGCATGGGTGCTGTCTTGGGGAGAAGGGTTTGGAGGATTAATGGAGCTTGTCTGGTGATGGAATGGGTGGGTGGATAAACTGGGAAGAACCAAGAGTACCAGCTGGGAGCAGAGGGTGTGAAGAGATTGGCTGAGGGTTGGCTGCAGCAGGAGAGAATGCTTTCAGTTGTTGTAAGCTATGTAATCAGGATAGACTTCATCCTAAAGACTGAGAACAAAAGGAAGAAGGACATGATTTGATTTCCATTTTAGGAAAAGCCCTTGAAACTGGGTACGGTGGCTCACACCTGTAATCCCAACACTTTGGGAGGCCAAGGCAGGAGGATTGCTTGAGCCCAGAAGTTCAAGAATAGCCTGGGCTACACAGGGAGAACTTGTCTCAACAAAAAATAAAAAAATTAGGCAGACCTGGTCGTATGCATTTGTGGTGCCAGTTACTGGTGAGGCCAAGCAGGAGTATTGTCAATCCTGGGAGTTTGAGGCTGCAGGATCTCGCCACTGTACTCTAGCCTTGGAAACAGAGCAAGAGACTCTGTCTCACTAAAAAAATAAAATAAAAAAAAAGAAGGAAAGCAGAAAGAAACACTACAGGCAGAGATCCCTCAGGCCCCCCGGTGGAGGGATATTTGACGAGTTGATGAATTGGGACTAAGGTTTGAGAGATATTGATGTTAAAAGTTATACAGTGGATTTCTCAGGTGGACTGGAGATGGCCTCATGGAGAAGATGCTCATTGATCTGATCTTTAGGGAGGGGAACAACTGAGCAGAAGGACATTTCAAGTAGAGTGGGAAGTAGGTTGTGTGGGAAAGTGCAAGAGGAATGGAAGGGCATGTGTTTCTCCTAGGCACAGTAGCATGTTAGGGGCTGCTTTTTAAACAGTAAGTAGTTCTCTGATGCAGAAGGCATAGCCTTACCCCAGAATCCTAGGACTTTACACTCTGACTGTCCTATGGGGACTCACCTGAGTGAGTCTTTTAATAAAAAGAGCAATATGTAGAATACGTGTCCAGTCTCCGGCCAGATGTGTAGAAAGGTGTCCGTTTATACCCTGGAACTTGCAGAGCCTGTCTTTGGGAAGGTCCCTCTGAGGCTCGTTACTGGGTGTCTGCAGGGAAGAGATGAAAGGGAAACATTTTCATTGGATATTAGATGCTCTTTCTGCATTTTGGATTTTCTACTTTTTAAATAAAGAAATACAAAAATTAATTGTAAAAATGTGTGTGCAAGGACAGAGGCAGAGGAAGAGAGAGAAGGAAAAGAGAGTCGAAAAAGAGAGAGAAGCAAGAGAGAGGGAAGACAGGGAGAGAAGGAACAGAGAGAGAGGGAAGAAAGACAGAAGGGAGAGAGAGGGAGAGAGGAGGAAGAGAGAGAGGGAAAAAGAGAGAGGGGAGAGAGAGGTAGAGAGAGAAGAAAAAGAGGGAAGAGAGATGGAAGACAGAGATGGGGAGAGAGAAGGAAGAGAGGATGGAGAGAAGGAAGAGAGAGAGAGGGGAAAACAGAAAGAGACAGAGAGAGGGAGCAAGCTGGTCTGTGTCCCCAGGGAACCTGCAGCATCATGGGACTGGCTGCAGGAACACGGAGTGGACAGGGAAGATGTGTGTTCAGCTTCCACCATTCAGAAGCCACAATTCCTTGGGTAGGTGCCCATTTCTCTGAGCTTTAGTATCTGCATGTGTAAAATGGGTACAGTGACTTGGTAGGCTTGTAAGGTTCCAGTGGGAGGAGGGGTGTGAAAGGGATTCATCAAATACAAGGCACCCCGGGCATCCTGAGCCTCACCCAGAGCAGCAGCATTTTGTGATTATCTCCTTCAGAAGGAGCCACGGAGGAGGAGAAATTGCTGAGACAGAAGATGATGAAATACTGGGCTACCTTTGCTCGAACTGGGTATGTAAACTTCCCAGTCTTCCCCATGCCAAGGCCTGGGGTGTGAGGAGGAAAATCTCACCCCTGTTTCTGCTCTCCTTTCCAGGAATCCCCATGGGGACGACCTGCCTCTGTGGCCAGCCTATAATCTGACCGAGCAGTACCTGCAACCAGACTTGACATGAGCCTCGGACAGAGACTCAAAGAACTGCGGGTGGAGTTTTGGACCAGCACCATCCCCCTGATCCTGTCTGCCTCCAACACGCTCCACAGTCCTCTTTCCTCCTTAATTTTCCTCTCTCTCCTCCAGCCTTTATTTTTCTCTTGTGTTCCTTGGGTAGTTATCATTTTATGATTTTGGTTTCCCTTCTTCTCCTCCAATTTTTCCCCGCAATCATTAGCTTCTTTCCAAGTTCAGCTGCTTTCTATGGAGATCTTTGCAGAACAAGCTGCTTTTGCTGATATTTTACGGACTTAGGAATGATCCTTATGGAATTCTTTTCAACATCAAAAAGTGCAATTTGTCTTGGAAGGCAACACGATTTCTTTAATAAATTTGGAGGAGGGCTGACCTATTAGTTGTCATAATAATGATTTGTAACTCACAAGAAATAAAATCAGAATGTGAAATATGGATAACGGGGCAGAATTTAATTCTGTGCTGATAATGCTCCCCCTGCCCCCAGAACCCACTTTCTATCAGAGAAAGTGTCTGTGCATGTTACCCAAAATGCGAATCCACCACCCCAACCCATGGGGGCTTCAGCAACAAGCCAAGTATGGATGTCTTGGACATCATGGGTTTGAGCTGGGTCTCTTCTGTGGCTCAGAGAGACGTGTGGGTGACGGGGTATCCTCAGCCATGGAAAGCTGACGTCATCCAAAATAAAAAACCTAGAAGTCAAATTCTAGGCATCAAGGATCAGATCAGCAGTGCCAAGAAGAAATGAAGCTTCTGTGATGGGGTCGAGATGAATCTA